GGGAGGTGGAAGCTGCGGTCGCAGCCCTCCTGGCAGCAGTTGATGGCGGCCCCTCTCGCCACAGACGAAGCAGCGCTGGAAAGAGCAGAGCAGCCCCCATCAGCGGCAGCCTCAGGGCCTCCAGAGCCAGCCCCACGCCTCCGGGCAGGCGCAGGATGCTGCCCCACTGACGGGTTAGAGCCCGCGGATGCGCCCGGCGCACGAGGCTCCTGTGCTGGGTCTGGGTGGAGGCTCTGTGGAGCTGCTGGGCGCGAGACTTTTGTCCCAGAGCTGCTTGGAAGGGCTGGGATTTCTTTCTTGGGGTCTGGGCTAAGCTCCCACACCGCTCCCGTGGCACCACAGATCTCCCTGAGCTTGTCCAATCCTTACCTGCTGTGATGCCTGCTTGACTGTATGGCGAATATCCCTCAGGGGGAATCCCATCAGGCCCACGTTGTGGGACTCTTTCTGGAAGAGGCTGTTGGCAAAAAACTGCGCAGGAAAGACAAGACAAGGAGGTGATGAGGAGGAGAGCGTGGCCGGGGCTGCCTGTCGGCAAGCTGGAGGGAGCCCCGGGGGCACTCACCAGGCAAAAGAGATGGGCGCAGAGCCCTCGCTTCTGTAGTTTGTACCCGCAGATGTCCGGGTCAGCCTCTGCCCGGCCACACAGCATGCATGCTGGAGGGGAGAGAGCAAACGACAGCGGGAATGAGCAGCTCACCTCTGCAGGGCCGGGGCAAGCGTCCCTGAGGGCTGGCCTTACAGGCACGGGTGTCCCAGCAGCAGGTGCCCACGGCCCAGCCTGGGCCCCGCTGGCTGCGGCACGGAGGGGCCCTGCCCCGGGGCGCTTGGGGAGCTCCTGCCTGCCCCTGCCACCGCTCTCGGCCCACGCTGAGCGCCCCGACAGCCCCTCTGCTATGCTGCGGGAGGGATGCTTTGCTCTCACCTGGCTCCATCGAGTCGTCGGCCTCCTGCTTCCTCGCAGTCATCTCACCCATCAACAGTGAGTGCTGGGAGAGTCGCTGTCCCCGCAGTGCTGGGGTGTCTCTCCCAAGTGCTCCTCGGCTGACTCTGGGGGAGAAGCAGGGCGCGGGTCAGCTTGCAGCAGAGGCCCAGCGCCCCCCGGCACGGGGCCGCCCTCCTCCCTCAGCAGCCCCGCACGAGCCCCGTCCACCCCTGCCCTCCCCTCACCTCACCAGGTCGCACTGAGGCACAGCCTGAGCCCAGCGATGCTTTATGCAGGCTTGTCCCCCGCGGGTCACAATGGCCACAGTGACATCAGCACCGTTGGCCTGGATGCACCCCAACGACGGGCAGGGACGCCCTCAGGAACGTGCCAGCCCCTCGGAGCCGGCCGCCGCCTCACAGGGGTGGGTGCGAAGTGCCGAGGCGGGGGCCCGAGCCCTCGGCACCCCCGGGAGCGGGGCGGCTGCTCCTGCAGCCAGCGCAGAGCCGAAAGGCAGGTCCCGCGGGGCAGCCGTCGAGGGTGGCACTGTTGGCCGACCGGTGCTGGTCAGGCCGTGCGAGCCCAGGGCTGCAGCCCTGGCCCAGGCTGCGGCTCTGCTCCTGCCCTCGGCATGGGGAGCAGAAGGAAAAGCAGCGGCAGCGCGAGCTGGGGACTCACGGCGCGAACGGCCTGCCTTCCTCTGTGGCAATAAACTGCCTTTCAGAGACAGTGTGAGCCCGTCCTTGGTGGGCAGGGAAAGTGCAAATGGCCCATGGGAGGAACTCATGTCGGAGAAAGTTTGTGGAGGACTGTCTCCTGTGAGAGGGGGACCACGATGGAGAAGGAGGAACAAGTTCCGGACAGTCCCCTCACCGAAGAGAAGAGAAGTGGCAGCGCTGACTGCACCCCCCATTCCCTGCCCCTGCGCCACTGGGGGAGGAGGTAGAGATATCGGGAGCAGAGCTGAGCCCGGGAAGAAGGGAGGGGTGGGTGGAAGGTGTTCTCAAGATGTGGCAATGCCTCTCACTGTCCTACTCTGTTATGTGTTGTTAGTGTCTGTAATAAATGTATGGTTTTTTCTTCTTCCCCTAACGAGTCTGCCTTTTGCTCGTGATCATAAAAGGGGGATTTTTCCCCCATCCCAGTCCTATCTCAAACCCCAAGCCTGGCTCTCTGTCCCTTCTCATTGCCGGAGGGGAAGGGAGAGAGAGCTGCTGCATTGCGGTTGGCTGCGGACCAGGCCTAAACCACGACACCGTCTCGCCACAGGATACAGTGGGGCAGACTCTGCTCCGGCACACCTTCCCCCTCCTTTCTTCCTCCGTTCCCCCACTGGCCTTGGTGTTGTGAGAAACTATGAGTTAAGTATATTGTTTATTAAGACTTAAAGATAATAAGAGGAGGGGAGATCGTTCATGTTGTACATATAAAGGGACACCAGCGAGGTAGAAGTTATCAAGGTAGGGGAAATAATGCAGCTGATACAGAAGCAAAACGAGTGGCAGGCAATTATAATACGATTTTGACGATACAACAAGTATCTGTTAATAAAAATTTGAGCTTTGAGTCTGCAGAAAAGGAAAAACTAGAACAAATGGGAGCTAAGGAACAAGAGGGTAAATACATATTGCCAGATGGGAGGGAAGTCTTGCCAAAAGGCATAGCACTCGAAATATTTTCAAAAATACACAGCAAAACACACTGGGGAACCCAGGCATTATTTGATCATTTCAATCAACAGTTTGCCTGTATAGGCGTATATAACATAGCAAAGACAATCACGGCAGCCTGTGAGACCTGTCAAAGGTTAATCGAAACAACATGAGACAAAAACCTCTTGGAGGACGTTCCCCAGCATACAGACCTTTCTCACACATACAAGTGGATTTTACTGAACTACCTAGGGTAGGGCGTTATAAATATTTGTTAGTAATGGTGGATCATTTAACACATTATGTTGAGGCTTTTCCTACCTCCAGGGCAACTGCTAACCAAGTTACTAAAGTATTACTTGAACACATTATACCTCGATATGGAGTGCCTGAAATAATCGACTCGGACAGAGGAACACACTTTGTGTCAAAAATTGTTAGAGATCTAACCGAAAGCTTGGGTATTAAGTGGGAATACCATACACCATGGCATCCACAAAGTTCGGGAAAAGTTGAAAGGATGAATGGAGAAATCAAAACTATTCTGACTAAATTAATGATAGAAACCAAATTGTCATGGATTAAGTGCATACCCATGGCACTATTAATTCTCAGAACCAGACCCCGAGCGGATGTGGGAATATCAGCGTTTGAAATGGTGTATGGAATGTCCTATAGAATTGAAAATCCACAAACAAATGTTTTAATTCGAGACCATGTGATTAATGAATATGTTTCACAATTAGCAGAACATCGTAATAAGCTTTGGGAACATGGACTGATTGTGCAACGACCCCCGTTGGACTTAAAAATTCATAATGTTAAACCTGGGGATTGGATATTGGTTAAAGTACGGAAGGAAGAAACCCTAAAACCCAATTGGGAGGGACCTTATCTTGTTTTACTAACAACAGAAACAGCTGTCCGGACTGCTGAGCGTGGATGGACTCATGCCAGTCGCATTAAAGGCCCCGTGACGAAACCTCAATGGAAAGTAATTAGTACTCCAGGTGATACCAAGATAACCCTGAAGAGATAATGATAAAGACTTTGTTTGAGCATTTTGCCGCATTGCCTTTTGGTATAAAGTGTATATTGCTGTTTTTACTTGCAATAATAATTTCCTTGTTCATTTATTATATATGGAAACGCACTAAGTGGGGTAGAGAAAATTGTTAGAATATAGAAAATATACTGATATAAATAATGTATGCATTTTAAATATACGAGTTAGGTGTAATCATTTAAACTGTAACTGTTACCCATTTGCTTGTTTGCTTGTTTTAGGTGCAAGGCATACCAGGATAAATGGTAGACATAATGTGAGAAATTAGACAAGAAATTATTTGGGGAATCCTATGAGTGGTGGGAAAGTTTTGCCAAAGAAATAAACCCTCAATATTATCGGTACCAATCTGACGAACCGGTCCCCTTTGTAGCTGAAATTTTGGCTATAAAGTGCAGAAGGGAAGTACTAACTGTGTCTTGCTTTGCCCCATTAGTTAAAGCTGCAAAGTGGGAAGTCTATATAAACAGGCAGAAAGCCCGAAACAGCTGTTCTCCTGAAGAATTCCCTTGCTGCCGAGAAGACGGTACACCCCGTGACTCGAAGCAACCGAGTCGAAGGGCGAGGCAGAGGAGGAACAAACCATGGAGAAAAGAATCAGAACAATGGGACGCAAAAGCAGCAATGGTCTAACTTCCCCAGGACTGGTAAAAATATACTTAAATTGGCAAAAGTGATAAACACCCTTTTTCCTGGTATACCGTTAGTCTTGTTACTGATAATAGCCCAGGCAAAAGGAGGAAACCCTCATGAACCTATGAATTGGACAATAACAAACATACAACATCCAAATAATCCAATTCAAGCACGGGCTACACCGGGTACATTTAGTTTTAATGTGAGTTTGCGCGATCTAATTACTGGACACCGTAAAGACAAAGCTGATCTGTGCAAACCAATCTACATATGTCCCGCGTCCAATCCTGGAAGAAGTTATTGTAACCTTCCAGGTCACTATTACTGTGGCTATTGGGGATGCGAAACATGGGCCTCTGAGTGGTCCACATCTGGAGACGAATATCTAGAAATAAAGTGGTCACCGGAAAAGTGTAAGAGACCTCACATAGGAAGCAATGGACGTGTATTCGGACACTGTAACAATGACGGATATTGTAAAAGTATTAACATAACAATTAAAACCCCAGACAACGATCAATGGTTAGCAGGAAAATATTGGGCAATTAGATATTGGGAACCAGAGGGAGACAGAGGAGGAATCTTTCAAATAATGAAAAGACCGATGTCTCACGATCCCTTACCAGTAGGACCAAACTCAGTCCTAAATTCACCCATTTTTCCTAAGAAAAGGATGGTTCCCACAAGTGTCACAACCATTCGTCCAAACTTTTTATCAGTAACAGATAGAACAACTAAAGACATGGTGACTGAGTACTCTTTAGTTAGGGATTCAGGAGTGTCAGAATCTAAAGACCCCTTATGGGATTTAATGCGAGCCTCTTATCGTACCCTTAATGAAAGTAAACCAAATTTAACTAAGGAATGCTGGTTATGTTACAATATTAGACCACCATATTTTGAGGCAATCGGAATACCAGATAGGATTCAATGGTCTAGTGGTTCAAACCCACAAGAATGCCAATGGGATGACCAGAGGAACCATACACAAGGAATTACTATTCAATTAGTAACAGGTCAAGGAAAATGTATAGGTACAGTTCCCAAAAGGTATCAGCCCTTGTGCAACCAAACAATCACTAACACCAATATAAAAAGACACAAGGATCAAAATGACAAATGGGCTATCCCGACACCAGGAGCTAAGTGGGTTTGTTCAGACATCGGAGTAACGCCTTGCCTATCCTTAAACGTGTTTAATCAATCTCAGTTTTGCATACAGGTGATTATTGTTCCTCTGAGGAGGTGTTACGCCACTTTGAAGGAGACCTGAATAGACAAAAACGAGAGCCAATTACAGTGATAACCCTAGCTACTCTGCTGATAGCGAGCGGAGTTGGAGCAGGTACAGGCATAGCCTCCCTAGTAAAAGGTCAGGAATTACAAAGTTTGCAGATGGCTGTAGATGAGGATTTAGCAAAAATAGAACGATCAATACAAAATTTAGCCACTTCAGTAAAGTCTTTATCAGAGGTAGTGCTGCAAAATAGAAGAGGATTAGACCTATTGTTCTTAAAGGAAGGAGGGTTATGTGTAGCTCTAAATGAAGAATGTTGTTCTTTTGCTGACCATATGGGAATAGTCCAGGACACCATGTCTGAACTCCGGAAAAGGTTAGATCAACGTAAAAAGGATCGTGAGACGGGTAGATCGTGGTATGAAAACTGGTTTAATGTTTCACCTTGGCTAACTACTTTGTTATCTGCTTTAGCAGGACCGCTTATTATATTGATTCTGGGACTTATATTTGGACCTTGTATAATACGCTATATTTTACGCTTTATTAGAGAACGGTTCGACATAGCTAAATTACTTATTTTAAGGTC